GTTAGCAACACACGAAATGAACCAGTGAACAGATTATAATCCAACTTTTTATAATGCAATCACTGAATACACAACTACAATTTATTACCTTTTGGATTAAACTTGATTCAAAATGGCCACCAAGCTTGAGCGGAAATCCCTGGGAGTCTGGTGGAATCCCCTCCCCAATCAATTTTGAAAAAATGAATATTGGCTCCTAAATAATTAATTCAAAGAAACAAGAATTTTCAGTTATATAAAGAAAAGAAAGCATATCAGCCATTTATATTGGCAAATATTTGCAGTTTTGCCAATCAGAAAATATGTGACCCCCACCCCCCCACCCCTCATCAGCTTTTAGTGGGCCTCACATATGGGGAGGACTGGAGGGGTGGAACTACTGTGAATATATATCCTCTATAGCACAACAATGAGCATCCCTGTCTTACAGCTGCCTGTCTGGGGGTTGACCCTTAATAAGAATAATCATTTCTTTTGTCATTCTACTCAAACCTGAATATTTTAGCTTTTTTTTTAAATTGCAATAGTAAAATTACTTTACTGTTTAGAGGGATTTCTTCAGTAGGAACAAACAATCATCACAACATTTCATAATTTCTATTTAAAGACGCCACAATAAATTAATGTGTCTAAAGAACATTTTTGTTTGATTTAATGGAGTTATTTATTGGACGCATGTCTTCTATTTGCAACATGTTTGATTTATGTAGAGATTTAAGTTATTGTAAAGCTCCTTGTTATCTTGTAATATTATATTAAAATATTATATTAGCTATAAAGAAATAAAAAAAATAATGTGCAAAGCAGGTGGAGAAAGATGTTCGGGTCTTCTGTTATTTTAGTTTCTGCAAGGTCCACCTGAGACTAAACATTCATGAATGAATGTTTTAGCATTTTACAGTAGTACATCTGTGTAAGTTAAGGGACACCACCCCACCCCACAGAAATTCTCAACCAGTAATTTTTCCTGTGTTGTATTCTGCCCCACTGACCGCTCACCTTCCCTTTCTTGCCATTTCATTATTAGTTAGGCCTGTTGCGATAAACAATAAATCAATTAATCGCATTCGATGAAAATGATCTACTTCATTTTCATTTACCGACTTTATCGTTTCTTCATGTCTCTCTCGTTCTACTGAAGACACTGGAAGACAAAAGGCTCAACTCCGGTGCTCTTCACTGACCCATCCCTTTCTCTTTTCTTTTTAAAGTCCGTTTTAACCGTCCAAAATCACGGTTTTGAAACGTTAAAAGCAGCCAAACTGAGAAGCTAAGCTATGAGCTAAGCTAACAGGCCGACCTCAGGGGGAAAACCTCCGTCTTGTCGAAGCTCCAAAATTCACCGTTGAAACCCGTGCCTTTGTGTAAAAAGTAGTTTTTCTCTACAAAAAAAAAAGCTGTGAACTTGTTTACTGATTTTTATTAAAAGCTTTGTGTGACAAATGTTATGCTAAAGAACTCAAACCACACTGAGAATCAGCCATTTTGAGAACCGGAAAAAAAGGAAGGAGCGGCAGCCCATGTCACGTCAAGGGGCCTCCCTCCCATTTTTCTTAAGAGAGACGCTGCTCACTACCTATTATCCGTCTTTTGGTTAAAACAGTCTTATACTGCCATCTGATGGTCAAAAAAGGTACTACAAACAAATTTACCATTTATTCTTAAATTTGACAATTACTAATTGCTGTCAAATTTTGAACAATATTATCGCTTATCGCAATAATTTCTGAGACAATTAATCGCCCAGCAAAATTTGCTATTGTGACAGGCTTTTTATTAGTTTTTAATTATAACTGATATTACGCCACCAGATGTGCATTATTAACAAGCATTAGGAACTTTTTTTAATCACATCTGTTGCAAGCACACACAGACTATTTGACTCATGTCTAGACAGGAAAATTAAAGCATACATTCAGTCAAAAAAAAAAATAGCAGTGACATTTAGGCAAGGTGTTCACGCTGTGCAATCAGGTTCCATTTTCCACGTCAGTGGCAGCTGTGTTCCCAGTCGGCCTGGAACGAATGTAGTGCAAAGTGTTTTTTGTGTTTCCTTTATCCGCAGGCTTTGTCTTCAGATGAAGGCAGCCGCTGGATGAAGGCTAATGGCAACGCTTTGAATGCACAACTGCTCTGCCTGCAGGCTGATATTAAACGGGATCAACCAGAATCTGTTTAATAATCTGGACTTCTTTAGTTTAAAGGCAATGTTGAGCATCACTTTTTAAAGTAAGGGCACACGTGGAGCCAGCTTCCTGTGGCTGCCCAATTTATTTCCAGGTATTATTAAATGTGAGGCAGATCGGCACAAAAAAAATCCCATTGTAATTAAAAAATGCACTTTTTTTTAGTATATTGGTTTCACACCTGTTTACATTTTACAAAGACAGCGATGGGAGAAAACACTCAAACCTCCCAGATTTTCACAGAAATCATGATGTGAATGGGGCGAAATATTTAACAGTCAATTTCTGTCTCTTGGGAAACCATCTCGAGTGAAACCAAATCTTCAGGGTTGTGAGGCTGTGATGTTCAAAAAGCGGGAGGAAGCAACACGCCTCAACAGTGGCAACATTGTTGATGTAATTTATTGCAGCGTTTTACACAAAACCTGCCTAAAACCTTTAGTTTTAACTAAGTTGCTGTGATTGACAAAACTTTTACTGACTCCTATCAAATGCAGGTTGGTTTGTTAAAAATAAAATGAATAAACATTTGTATGTGTAAGTACGTGTATTTATTGAATGGCTGCGTGCGTGTGTTGCCAGATAGAAGCATTGAATAAATAATTTATTTAACCAATGAAGATTAAATGTAAAGTTTCCCGTAAGTGGCTAAAAGTGTGACTAAAGTCAAGCAAGAATAAAATAAAACGACAAAATCAAACTCCATCCTCAATAATCCAGGTAAAAAAAAAAAATCCAACAATATTCAATCAGGTCATCTGGACTTTTTTTTTTTTTTTTTAGACGTTTCGTCTTTCATCCAAAGGACTTCATCAGTCTGAGGAGCCAAAAAGTTTAGTCCCACAAGCAGCACATTCACATAGTGGACCAACCAGTTTGCTGGTGATAAGATGGTTTCTGGGGCCGCCCTCTCCCCCGTCAACTCCTCTGAGGCAGTTATAGCCAAAATGGTTCACAACATCAAAGTTCATGCTCAATAATCCAGGTACAAAAATCCAACACTGTTGGGTCATCTGGATGGTTTCTTTTTTATTTATTTTTTTTGTGGAGACATGTTGTCCTTCATCCAAAGGACTTCATCAGTCTGAGGAGCCAACAAAGTTACAAGCAGCACATTCCCATAGTGAATCCTCCCAGCTGCACAGCATCCGATACCAGAAGAAACGATCATCCAAAAAAAGTGATTTGCATCCAGTAAAAGAGGAATTAAACTTTTCAATAGCAATATCTCAGAATGTTGGCTTGTATACCTGGATTATTGAGCATGGACTTTATCTCAGAATGAATGTAACAGAGCTACTCCAACATGCAGCCACCCCGAGCGGTGCAACTCTGGAGTCCGCCTTCTCCCCCGCCGACTCGTTTGAGGCAGTCGTGGTCAAAATGTTTCAAAATATGGTTTACTGAGCATGAATCAAGATATCCTGCAAATTGTTTGCAGTTTATATCAGTTCCCAATTCTAACCTACTCATGATCTCATCTCATGCTACTGTATTTATTCAAGACTCGTGTTCAAGCTGCTGTTGTTACGCCGTGTTGTTTTAAATTATTAATGTTTAGCGTATGTCTTAGATATTTTAGTGTATGGTTTGGCGTTCATTTAGCATACATCTTAGATCCTTATTTACTGTTTTTATTTTTACACTTTATATTTTTGCTATTTTTGGGGTGTAACTGGGACCCTGAGTACATAATTTCGTTCCACCTCATGTACCACATGTGATGCAAATGACAATAAACTTGAACTAAGCCACGCAGTTCTGATGTCTACTTTTTAATATGATTTTAAAGAAGTAAGAAATTTGTACATAAAACAAGATTCTGAGGTAAAATGCAAAAAAAAAATTAAGGTTTATTGCCCATGTCACGTCATTGTAACATTGTAGCAATCAGAACGTCATTGTACAGATAAAATTATTGCTTCTTTTCTTATTATCAATCTAAAATATTTGTATTTGTTTCATTTTTGTGTTAACACTTTGTTAGTATTGTGATGGTCTTCAGTTTGCTTGTATACAAATTAGCATATGTTAGCATAGTAACATACTGCAGACACTAACCTAAGGTCATTTCTGCAACGTATTAGAATTTAACTCGGAGACCAAATGTTTCTTACACAGTTCCTTATATTATGACAAATAAACTTTATTTCCCTTCACCATATTTAGTGCATTTACAAAGAATTATTGAAATCAGATAGACGGATGCTGTTTTCCTGTTATGGCTTATCCTCGGTGCACTTTTATTTCACAGTACTTTGCTCTCAAACCTGAAGCCTACAACATGAAATTGATGGCACTGACTGCTCCAGCCTCCGGCTGCAGCTTCTGAACAAAACGACTTGTTATTTTTGATATGGCAGCCGGCCTTAAAAGTGTAAGATGTGGCTAAAAACGTGCTTCGTTTGAGAGAAAACTAGCATTCGCACCTTGCTGGTTATTTGATGCACAGAAACCGTTTTCCACAATAAAAAGTACATTTGTAAATCTTTGATTTGCATTTATCATCTTATGATCTCTAAGATGATTTAAAGCTCCAAGAAACAAACAGAAAAAGTATTTGGTCTGAAATAAAATGATACACAGCCAAAGCTTTTTCGCAGAGTTTCAACTAAGACATTCATGCAAATAATAATGGATGCCAAATATAATTAATATATATATATTTTTTTTTTAAAAAGGTTAGATGTGTGCAGTCCACCTTGCTGGGTTCTTTTTGTTGGTTTCTGTTTAGCTCAGTGGAGATTCAGACTTTTTAATCTTGCATTAAAAATGAATGCACCTCCTCTTGCCCCTCTTATGCTCTCTCCTCAGATCCAGACTTCGCAGACTTGGGAGTCCCCCCACCTCTGCCCTGTAGGTATACTCCCTCTATCTCTGTTTTCGCTCTTGTTTCTTCTTCTCTTTTAATCTCGCTTATGTTTAAATCACTCGTGTCTTTTGGCTTTTCTAATGTTTGCACGTGTATTTGCCGTACTTGTGAGTTCTGTGCGCTCATTTGAAATGTTCATGCGTAGCTCTGTAAAACCTACATGCAAAGTTTTGCGTGTGTCTATGCACATGTGTGTGTTTCAGCCTGTCAGTATGACATGGTTGGTCCTGAAGGCATTGTTGAGTCTCATCAGATCACCCGAGACGGGAAGGCCGGTGCCGCCGAGGCCGTCGATTGTAAATGGTACATCCGGGCTCCGCCTCGTTCCAAGGTTAGTGACAAAACCTTATCCCTTATCCGATACTGAATTAAACTCAGAAGGATAAATACAAGATGAAGAGAAAGAAATGAAAGGAAAGCAGAGAGGCAGGGAGAGTTAGCACTGATAGCATTAGCATGCAGTTCAACCCAGTGGCGTTGTCTACATTTTTGTAGTGGGTATACTGGGCTTGGAAGCCAAAGTACATCGGTTAGTACAATGTAATCGTCAATTTATTTTGCTTTTTAAGCATGTTGAACATGTCCAAATTTCTCTGATGCTTATATTTCAATAAATGCACAACTGTAAATATTGTAATTACTTTTTCACTTTTTGATGCTTTATTTTTGTACCCTTATTGCAATTTATTGCTTTTTTTTTTTTTTTTTAGCAAGTCAAATTGGTTCTTCTCATCCTGAGCATTTCATTGTACTGTTAACCTCGCGTATGACAAATAAACACAACTTGAACTTGAACTATTAAACACTTTGTACAAAATCAGTTTAGTCGCATCCAGATATACACCGAACACTACTGTTTGCTAACACTTAGCATGATAAAAATGGCTACAAGTCGTGGGAATAGCTTACTTACTGCCTTTGTTTGACGTCGTACGACCATAAACTTCTGTGATAAATCCACAACGCCAATCCTCGGTATGCGATGAAATATGCAGTATAAAGCTTAAAAAGCGCTAGAAGCCAAGGAGGTTGTTTGTAGCTACTTAGCTTCTTCGCACGTCAGCGCCGAAACTCCAGAAGACGCTGATTGGCTGGAATGAAAGTTTGCCTGTGATTTCATTGGTTGAAATTTTTTTTTTTACCTCTTCGTAAACTTCCGTTGTGGCTACACAAATCACGTGACACAGGTCTGTTTTGACCGGGGGTGGGGTGGATCCTTCTTCCACTCTGCACGCAAATGCGCTGCATACAGACAGATTGTAGAGACCGCTGCGCTTCGGCTGATAGTTCATTATGAAGTGGCGGGAGATAACTAGATATTTTGCTTGGGCGTTTGCCCAGTTATCCTAACTGGGCAGCATAGAGGGAACATTACGTATCACTGGGCACTTTTAATTGGTTATGCAGAAATTTCCAGGCATTTTTTGTGATTGTACGCTGTTTGCTCGCGTATCACGTAGACCACAGCACTGGTTCAACCCCAAGGCCTCCTGCAGCCTACATTTGTCTTCTCTTAGTGTTCTGGGCATGCACCTGCATGCATTTACAAAAACAAGCGTGCACAGCTTTCCTCCAACCACTGATACACTCAGCATGCTTCATTATCTACCAGAGGTACCTGCACTGTATTAATGCTAGCAAATTAAGACTCCTCTGAGCCTGGAGCAGCGCACAGAAAAAGTCTACATTTCTTTTAAAGGTAAAACCTCTTGTCTGTCTACAGTAATCAGCCATAACAATACGACCAAACACATCGTCTGGACTGGGCTTTTGTTGACACAGTTGCCACCAGACGTAGCTTGTTCTTGTAAGACCCGCTGCTGTTGTCCTGACTGCTGATGTTGTAATGTGTGTGGGGGGTGGGGCTCTTTTTTTTAGCTTTACATAGGTTTAGATAAATGACAAATGTTATACTAACATTCACATGAATGAGGATTTTAAAGCTACTCGTTGCACTACAAGAAAAAAGAACAGCTGTTACTTTCTCTGCCGGCAGTCATAATGATCTTGTTGAATGGTTTGTACAAAAAAAAAAAAAAAGATTTTTGAGTCTATATTTTTTACAAACCTGAAACGTTTTGTTTGTGATGATTCTGTTGTTTGGTTGAACCCGTGTGAAGGCAGGACTTGGAGAACTCGGGATTAAATGTGGAATATATTTTTAATAAATGAAATAACAAAAGCTGACGTGCAGCAAACTTGCATAATCTCAGGGTTGACACGTAGGAAGACAGAACCAGAACGCCGTTCAGGACAATGTGCGGACACGGGAAACAGAAACTGAAGTCCAAAACATTAACAACACATAATAAGAAACACCTGGAAGAAAAGACTTTCTGGAACAGGTGGGAGCAGCAGGAGTTACAGGGGAAACATACGATCCATCCATCCAACCACCCATCCATCCATTATCTTTTATTCGCTTCTTGGATCACGGGGGTCGCTTGTGCCCATGTCCAACAATCACTGTGCAAGGGGCGGGGTACACCCTGGACAGGTCACAAGTCCATCACAGGGCGGAGACATATTAGGGAACACAAATCCTCACAGTGTTGTGCATGAAGTTTTGTTTAAAAAAAAACACTTAAGTTGAATAAACCTGTGTTTTATGTCGTAATGATCAAAGAAAACTTACACATCTTTAAAGAAAGGGCAGCACGTTGGCATAGTTGGTAGAGCTGTTGCCTCTCAGCGAGAAGGTCGCGGGATCGAATCCTGGCCAGGGACCGTTCTGGGTGGAGTTTACATGTTCTCTCCGTGCATGCGTGGGTTTTCTCCAGGTACTTCGGTTTCCTTCCACAGACCAAAAGCATGCATGTTAGACTGATTGATAACTCTAAATTGTCCCTAGGTGTGAGTAAGAGAGTGAATGGTTGTCTCTATGTGTCCCTGTGATGGACTGGAGACCTGTCCAGGGTTTCCTCCGCCTCTCACATAGTGATGGCTGGACATGTGCACCAGTGACCGCCGCGACCTAAAAAGAAAGAAGTGGGTAAAAGATAATGGATGGATGTTCTTTAAAGAAATCCAGATGAATTAGCTTCACCATTCAAACATTTGACAGCTGAAGTGAAAAACATTTATCAGCATGATACAGGGTTTATGGGCTACTTCTGTTCTTGCAAATAAAACTTTGAGAAGTCCCTTAGCCGTGCAGGGGTAATATTTCTTTTTCTTCATTAACGGGACAGAATAATTTTATAATTCACCACTGATGTAATTTATTTCACACTATGTGGCTACTTATCCCTCTTCAGAGAAAAATGGGGAGACATTAACATGTATTTCCTTATATGGACTGTACTTGCGGCATCTTTCTATCTTATCAAGATACTCTAAAAGTATTTTACACTACAATCTGTGGCCTCATTTACCCATTCATATGGCACTTTACTAGAAATTGCTTTAGATCACATTCATACACCGATGGGACACACGTCAGAGGCAATGAGGGGTTCATTGTCTTGCCCAGGGACACTTGGGCATGTGACTGCTGCTGGAATCGAACCTACTACGATCCAACTCTTGCATTGGAGGACGACTGCTCTAACCACTCAGCCACAGCCGCTCGCTACACTACACTACAAGAAAACTAAGAGTTTTGCTGTTAAATTATGGCTTGAAAACATTTATAGAAAGTACCTGTATTAAATGTGTTTGTTTTAACTAAAGTGTATGAACTGTTAAACTGATTGAATCTAAAATGTGTTGTTATATTTCACGTGTTTCAAAATAGTGGTTTATTGTACTCAAATACAGGCAAGCAAAAAGCTTAGATGAAGATCAAAATGACAAATTTAATAACTAAACAGGCAAATGTCCAATATCCATAACAATTCATGCAAAACCAGGTTTTAACCAGAGTTAAAATATGTAGTGGATTTTCTGAAATATGGGTGGACTCGAGGATTAATCGTCCACTGTCTTTTGTTGTAAATTTTTAAAAAAGAAATAAAGGAATAATTTTAAAAAATGGAAATGAAGAATAAAATAAATAAATGCTAGCAAGTCACAAGATCAGCTCTCTCTTGTAAATGAGTCGTCGAGGCTCATTGGGATTAACCTGAATAAATAAAGGTTGAATGAAGATCAGCAGAGCTCAATGCTGAAGTTATGGCCCATATTTTTCAAGATTTGCTTGATTAGAAATCAGAAGGAGTCAGATAAAGAGACATTATGACTCTGAATACAGAATTAACCTTAAATGTCTGTAGCATGACACATTTTTTTCATTCATTCATTCAACCTTTATTTATACAGATAAATCACATTGAGCCTCAAGGACTCATTTACAAGTGAGACCTGTTTAGACAGACAAAAACGTAATGAACGTGACAACATGTATAGGACTTGGAGGCAAAAAAATAAAAAAAATCATAACAGACTTTCATTCTTTGGCCGAGGAAAGACAGCCTGAAATTGAAAAAAACACCCCGCACATAGGCACAAAGTGATGCAGACATTATGCAGGGGAGGGGAGACAAAAAAGGGCGGTGAGCATGTCCAAGGACACTCCAGAGGCACTGTAGGAGTTCTGATAAGAATGGTATAATCAGCCAGTTCCCTCTGGTGAGATCCGTAAACACTCTCAAGGGTGCTGAGGTCAACGTAGGACAGCACCAGAGAGAATCCAAGAGTAATGAAATGATGACGCAATGTTTAGTCAGCCGGGCCCCTCTGATAGGTCCGCAGACTTCCTTGGTGGGAAAGGGGAGGGGGAAGAGCGTCGATTTACAGGACCTCCAGGCGAATTGAGATAAGGTGACCTGTCAAGGCCAGCCTGGGAGCCGAATTCAGATGAACATTTGTTTTGAGGACAGGCAGAACTTTACAGATTTATGTCTGCCGTGAGTCTTTGCTTATTAAGATTCCACAAGTATAAAATGTTCTTTTGGTAAAATATTGTGACATTAATCACGTGCCAAACCGTAAAATATTCCAGGAACAAGTAAAATAAAATAGTCTCCTTTCAGAACGGATGACGACTGAAGAAAACGAGAATCTGTTTACAGGGAGCGGTGATGATTAGCTAATAACTGCAGGTGTGTTGATTATTAATAAGTAACAGGTAGGAAGAGCTGAGAACAAGGATTATTTAGTGGGATATAAATACAACAAAAAGAATTTGTTGAGAAAAAATACTTTTTTTTTAAAGGTAAATGAAACAGAAATAAAATTAGAACATGAGAATGACTGTCATCTTTGACGTTACCAAATTTTAGCTCATTTTAGCCGTTATTTTTGTTGCCGAGGTTGATTAGCTGTGGTGGCCATCTTGGACTGAGTTGAGATCAAAAGATTAGTTGTTGTATTCAATGAATACTTTCTGAT